GGGGGGGGGGGGAAGCCAGCACGTTTGGAGGACTTGCCCCCCCCACTCCCCAGTCCGCGTCTCTGTCTCCGCTTCGATGTCCCCCCCGAGTTGGTCTCTCTTAGGGAGTAACGCCGGCGGCTCCTGGATCTCGCCCGGCCCTTCCCCTTCGTCCCTCGTCCCCCATTCATTCCCCCCCCCTCCGCTCCAGGTCGCCTCCCCCGCTCCGATCCCCGAGAACGGCGAGGCAGAGCAGAGGACGGACGGACGGCGGGCGCGGGGGGATGGAAGTTAAGTTGCCTGCATCCCCTCCAACTTTCCAGCCCACGTGTCGTGGTGGTCATCCACCGACAGACACCCCCCCCCGCCGCCGCCGCATCTCCTCCTCCAACCCCCCCACCCCGAAGCATCAACGTGGGACCCTCTGGCAGTCCCCACCTGCGTCCGCCGGGGTCTTCATGGCTCCTCGCGCGCCGCAGCCTCCAAGCCGCCGGGTCGGTCTCGGGCTCTGGCCCCCCTCCTTTCCCCCCCTCGGCTTCATATGGAGCCGGGGACGCCCACGCCCCCCCCCCCGTCGCACGTCACCGCCGCGTCGCCATAGACACGCTGAGCCCGCCTCTCCGCCTCAAAAGCCTCCCTCGGCTCCGCCCACAGAGCTCACGACCGGGGTGGGGGGGGGAGAGGGGGGGAGAGTTAAAAGGGGCGGCGGGCGGCACCTTGGGTGGGATGGCCGTTGGCGGGGGCGGGGGAGGAGGAGGAGGAGGAGGAAGAAGGCTGGCTGGTTAGCTATCTTAGAGTGGTGCCCGGAAGATGCCCGGAGACGCGCGCGAGAGAGAACCGGGACAAACTCCCCCGAAGACTTTTTTTTTTTTTTTTTGCAACGGCTTACGGTGTGCGAATCCTTTGGGGGGGTGGAAAGAAGAAAATAAGAAAACTTATATAACCTTATATTAACACGGGGAGGGGTGGGGGATGAATTTCGGAACTCCAGAAACAGGCAGTCCTCGACTTACGACCACAATGGAGCCCAACATGTCTGTGCTTCAGTGAGGCGTTGGTTAATGGAGTTTTTGCCCCGTTTTGTGACCTGTCTTGCCAAAGTTGTTAAGTGAGAATCATGGCAGTCGGTAAAGTGAATAGCACAGTTAAGGGAATCTGGCTTCCCCGTGGACTTGGCTTGCCAAAAGGTGACTGACTCCACGACGCTGCAACGGTCATAAATAGGAACCAGTGGCCAAGCATCTGAATTTTGACCGCATGATCATGGGGATGTTGCGAAGGTCGTAACTCTGAAAAGCGGTCATAAGTCACTTTTCTCAGGGCCACTGTCACTGAACGGTCACTGAATGAATTGTTGTAAGTCGAGGATTACCTGTATGCAGAAGTTAAGCCCGTGTGCTTATCGTGAGCCCCTTTCCAAAATTTGGAATTTATAGGGTCCAAAGTTTGGTGTAGCTGTGAAGGGCTCTGAGGGATCTGTGAATTCACTGCTCTGAGAAAAGATTGCAGGGCCGCATTGTAAAATCAGTGGAGAAAGTATCTTGGTATAGAGGAAGCAGAAGGAATGGAATCCTTTCTGGTCTAGATGGCGGGTTTTCTTGGGTATGTTTGTGGAGAATAGCCTCTTGCAGCCTTTGTCTTTGGTGTTTACTCTCAGAACTGTGCAAGACTGCAGCTTAAATAGAGATTTAACCACTTCCACTATCTGTCTAAAAATGAAACTCTGGATGGCAGAGTGTCTTCCTTACACATTTGCATCACAGTTTTCTGAAAACAAACAGTTATACAACTGTCATAACTAAATACTTAGTCCCTGGTTATCATTCCCAAATCACAGTAAATAATAATAATAATAATAATAATAATAATAATAATAATAATAATAATAATAATAAACAACTAAGAGCTAAAAGACAGATCAGATATTTCCCAGGAGCGTCATAACAAGATTTCGGGGGCGGGGGGGGGGGGGGGAGTTCCATTTATTTTCCATGTTTTTCTGTTCATTTTTGTGGTTTTTGACTACAGTGTTTTTCTGGTCTCTATTTTTGGGTGTGACATTTTATTGTCATAGCTGCATTGTATTAATTCTAATGTTTATTTTGTCCCACTGTTTTACAGTACCTTAATAGCTGCCTTGAGGGGGCTTTGTGCCCTAAAAGATGGCCTAAGGGTACTTTAAAAAAATAAAACATAATATAAACAATTATTTTATAAATAAGAACTACAACATCATCCCAAATAACTTTAAAATTTCAACCTCGTAGCATGCTTCACACATTGTTCATGTAAAACTCTGTAATTTCACACAATAACCTGGTTCCCAGATGCTGCACTATGTGCCTGAATTTTTCATTTAGTCTACAGGTAGTCATTGACGTATAATCCTAAAGGCCTGCTCATTATGGTTGTAAGTCGTATCAGTCATGAAACAGGTCACCCATATGTGGCCAAACTCATGACAATTTTTGCTGTGGCCATTAGTCATAAAATGAACACCACAGTCGTAAAGTAAACCAATTACTTGCTGTGGACCGATTTTGCTAAAAAACAAAATGCCAGTTTTTAGAAATTATTATTTGTAAAACGTGGACGTTTTGACTGCAAGATATAGCAAACAGCCATAAATGGGGGGCTGGTTGCTGAGTGACCACACGGGGAGGGGGGGAGCGACCATCAGAACTTCGAATCTGTGTGCTTTTTCAGGCCTTGCTGTAACTTTGGCCACTAAACAACCGGTCGTAAATCAAGAACTACCGATAAGTGCGTGATTGAACCCAATCGCTGGGAAGAGAATGGAAGAATGGAGCAGAATGTAAAAGGAGAAACAAATGTGTTTCCATTCAGTGCTTTTGTTTATCTCAGAGATATTTGCAGGCCTTGTATCTTCACCACAAACCTGCCCAGGAGCCCAAACGAAGAAACGGCAAACCGCTAAGCGCCCTCTCCTTGTGTTTAAGGATGGGGTGGGAGGCTTTTGAAGCAGACTTCCAAGAATGACGTCCAGCAGATTACCCTTTTGCCTGACATAACCGGGAATACTTTATCCAGAGGCTGATAGAATTCTAGACCTCAAGGAGAAGCCCAAACTGCAACAGTCTCTATATACGGAGGAGAGGAAGGATGTGGAGTTGAGGTCTTAAAAGAGAAAGATTTACGGTTTATTGCTGCAAATGCCCTGGAGGTATAGATTTTTAAACAAACATGTCCGTGATGGCAACAAAGCAGAAGAGAAGAGGAAAGAACTAAAAAGGCCCTCTGCAAACAGCCTAGGGGAGTAGAGAAAGGGTATAAAAACAGATGATAAGATGAATGGCTAAGGAAGAATGTCCAGACAATGGACTGAAAGCACATGATGCTATTAGGTTTGTTGAAGCTAAGCAGGGATCAAGCTTCGGTGGGGGACAAGCTAATCACAACTGGCTTGGCCACTCTGGCAGACCCTGGCAGTTACCTCCAGGGCACCTGCCCTACCAGCAGCAGACAAATGAGGTTAGACCCACTCCCACAGACCTGGGAGATGCAGCAAACCATGGGGGGGGGGGGGTTTACTTTTATCAACTAATATATCAAAGTACCTGGGAATCCGCCAAGTGGTCCGAAGCAGCCTACCAGGGGGCTGCATTGGTTAGACACATGACTTGCATTTGCCTGCTTGTTGTGTTGCCTGGTTCTAAATGTTGGTTTTCATTGGGTTTTAGGGGAGTTAATTGTTCTTTATGGACCATTGTATTTGGTTTATTGGTTGTTTTAATGCAAGGAATTGTCCAGGATCACACGTGAGATGGGCAGCTATAAAGGAAGAAAGGAAAAGAATATAAGAGATGGGAGGGAGGGAGGAAAGGAAAGAAAGAAAAAAGGGAAGGAGGAACAGAAGGAAGGCAGAGAAAAAATGAAAGAAGGAAAGAAGGAGGGAAGGAATAGAAAAAAAGAAAAAAGAAAGAGAGGAGGAAGGGAAGGAAAGAATGAAAGCCAGAAAAGGAAAGGAAGGAAGACTAAATAAATAATGTAGAAACTACCGATTTTTTTCCTTTGTCAGGGAAAAAATTGCCTTTTATCTGCAACATTATTATTAATATCTATCTATCTGTATATATACATATTTTCTATTCTGTCCTGTAGCCAAAGCTCTCTGGGAAGCTGACTCAAACCTTCTGACTCGGTTTGCAGAAGTTGCTCATCCCGCGAAGCCAATCGTTGCTGAACGAGGCCAACGGTTGCTGACCTCTGCTTTGCTGAACACAACCACCACACAGGCTGAGTGCACCCAGGAACTAGGCCTCCCACCTTTCATCCCAGCAGGTTCTGCAAACCCACCATCCAAATCCACGTTACCAGGGGAAGAACCGAGTTTCGGGTTGGCCTATAACTTTAAGCATGAAGCTTTTTTTTTTTTTAAAGTCCTGCTAACTTTGGGCGAATATTTCTCCTGAAAAGGCAAATATATATATGTATATATGGTTAGGAGGATGCTCCCGTGTGTGGGAGGCTGCCTGGGCCGATAGTGGCAAAGCACCGGGTGGGACGCACCCGAGGGCTTGCCAGAATCCTGAGAAAACTCAGCATTATGAGGATGGGAGCAGAACAATTGTTTGTTCACGGGGCCACGGGGCACACACGGCAGGCAGCAGCAAATTTGAAAGAATGCAAATGGGGCGGGATCTTTGTCCAGGCACGTTGGGGAGTGTGGAAGATTCCATGCTGCCCTGAGAGAGAGAGAGGGAGAGAGAGTGATCACAGCTAGGATTGGGGGTGGGGGAGGCTAGCTGGGAAATCCCTGAGAGAACATCAGCCAAGAGCGCCAAATTATCTTGCAGCTGCACCCAAAGAAATGGAGCCTGTAGAGGACTTGCAATTGGGGTGGGGGGCTAATCCTGGACCCCTAAATCTGGACCTCTGGATCTCCAACCCTCCTGGCCTTTTCTGAGGCTTTAAAAACCTGGCTGGGTACCCAAGCTTTGTTAGTTGATTAACTCTCTCGGCTTGCTGCAAGTAGTAGATATTTTGGGAGGTTTTTAAGGTTTGGTTGGGTTTTTTTTTTTTTTTAATTGTTTGAGTTGTTTAATAGTTGTAAAATTGCAAGCCGGTTGAGATGGGCGGCTATAGAAGTTGAAACTGGGTGGACTTCAACTCCCAGAATTCCCTAGCCAGCAGAGCCCGCTGGGGAATTCTGGGAGTTGAAGTCCACCAGCTTCAGCTAGCCAAGGCTGAGTAAACATTGGAGTAAGTAAATAAATAAAGGGAAGGAAGGAAGACAGTCAGGCGGGCAGGAAGTTTGACTACCGGAAAGACAGAAGGGGAATTCCGAACAGCAGCAAGGAAGGCAACTGGATTTTAGCAACTTGCTGCAGACAAGGGAGAAGGGTGATTCACTCACAACTGGCTCTTCTCGTGACCCAAGAAGCCATAAACCACAGTTTATAAATTGCTCCACTTTGGTTTATGCAGCATGCTTGGCCAACGTGAAAGCAACCACATCACAGCCTGGCGCTGGGTGTGAACCCCACCTGCCTCAGGTGCCATTTGGATACAGGGATCCTTCGGGAGCTCTTGAGTACCGCAATGGGAGCAGGGCTTCCTATCCTAGTAGGAATCCCCAGATGTATCAGCCAGTTGAATCCTAGCAGTCTGAAATCCTCAGTTAAACAGACCAGATTTCCAGTCCTTATGATTATGATCCTTCCTTCCTTCCTGTCTTTTCCTTCTCTCCTTCCCTCCTTCCTTCTTTACTGCCTTTTCCTTCCTTCCTTCCTTCCCTTTTTTCTTCCCTCCCTTCCTTTCTTCCTACTGGCCCTTTCTTCCTTTTTATTTTCCTTCCTTCCTTCTTTCTTTACTGTCTTTTCTTTCTTCCCTCCCTCCCTTCTTCTTTACTCTTTTCCTTCCTTCCTTTCTTCTTCCCTCCCTTTATTTCAACTGACCCTTCCTTTTTATTTTCCTTCCTTTCTTCTTTACTATCCTTTCCTTCCTTCTTCCTTTCATTTCAACTGGCCCTTCCTTTCTTTTTATTTTCCTTCCTTCTTTCTTTGCTATCTTTTCCTTCCTTCCCTCCCTCTCTCCTTCTTTCCTGTCTTTTCCTTCCCTCACTCCCTCACTCCCTTTCTTCCTTTTCATTTTCCTTCCTTCCTTCCTTTCTCCCTCCCTGCCTCCCTCAACCTAATAAGTCCAATGCCTTGTGATGAAGTCTTTTTAGACATCTCAAAGAGGTTTTTTTTAAAAAAAAATAAATAGTATTTCATCCTTTTCACCCACCCTCCCCAAAGTAAATAATCATTTTACACAGTGAAACTGTGTAAAAGGAAGTGGAATTTTTTAAAAAGAGGTTGCTGTAAAGTTCCAGAAAAGGATTTGGAGGGAAATAACTAAAGAAAGAGAAAGGAAGATGGGAGGGCCAGTTTACACTTCCTCAAACTGGGATTAATCCGAACACATTAGGAAAGCACCTGATTTAACAACAAGGACCTAAATAACATCTCCGGGAACCTTAGACTAGAATTCTATGTATATATTTAAGAAATAAGCTCTAGCCAGTAGTATAAAAAATTTGTCCAGATTTGGGCACCATTGCAGTTTTTCAATTTATCTAAGAATCTCCTGAAAAGTTGCATGCGACACAAGCATTAATCCTGTGGTGATTATGGGGGCTAGCCTCTGGACTAACCCAATGCATCCCTTGTTGGATATATGGGAAATTTGTTCCAAATGCACATTGCCTAGAAGAGTATGACTGGATTCACAGAGGGAGTTAAATCATAGCATACACAGGTAGTTCTCGACCTATGACCAGTTGCTTAATGAACAGTTGAAATTATAATGGGCCCAGAGCAAGCGCTTTGCAGCTGGTAAAGTATACCCTGTTTCTCCAACAATATGGCCTCCCCCAATAGGAAGTCCCAGCATGTTTTATAGGCATGAAATGAAATTAAGCCCCGCCCCCCAAATTAAGGCCTATATTAAAACATGCAAAATGGGGGGAATGGTGGGGGGGGATTGCCATTAGGAAGTACTTTTGTTGCACACCCAGATATGGTGCTGCCTGCGTTGACCCCGATACGAAGTGCCCCACCAACGCTGAGGTCAACATCCAAGCCATCGCCGCCCGCCCGAAGATGCAAGGGGGGGAATTAAGTCACCCCCAAAAAAGACAGCCTAGCCATTTTTTCAGGGCTCAAAAAAAAATAAGACCCGGCCTTATTATATGAGAAACACGGTAGGTGGTCTCTGAATCTGAGCTTGGTTGTTTTCTTGCAGACCTTTCATTGCCAAACTAGGTAACATCATCAGTGCCACAAGGGAGTAGGGTTTGCTGAGAGCACTGATGATGTTATCTAGTTTGGTAATGAAATGTTGACAATAAAACCACCAATCTCAGAGAGCACCAAGGACCCCAATGCTCGACCCTAAGCTAGAAATATTCTCTTCTAATTAGCAAACAGGTTTTGCTCTGATTTATACTGAGATATAAATCAATTGTATCTCAAGCTCAGCCATTTATAAGACGGATAGCATTTCCACTCCCAGAATTGCCCAGCTATATAGCATAATTGGTTGAGGAATTCTGGGAGTTGAAGTTCACCCGTCTGAACGTTGCCAACCTTAAGAAGAATACTATGAATTCTGTGGAATAATGTGAAGCAAGAAAAGAAAAAAATAGTTTTGAACTGTTAGCTTACATGTACCCTTTTGAAGCAGTCAAAACTATACTCTGAGGGCATCCACAAAAGAACAGCCTGAGGGTGCCAACTGAAAAAATAACCCAGAACTGCCCAGAAGAACCCTAAACACACCACACCCTTTATTTTCAGGTAAATATTACTGATTGACATGCATTAATTTTTTTCCCCCAAATCCGGGAGCCAGCCTCAGTGACTCCCACCCCACCCAATTGATCCCCAGGCTGTTGTGAAATGGGTGATTCCTTGTAGCAGGGAGAAAGAGCTTAAAAAGCAACAAGCAAATGTTCTAATGGAACAACAGTGCCAGTCTGGTTTTAATCAAGTCTTGCCTATTGCCAAGATAATGAATTGACATTTGGATTCTCTTACCTACTGGGCCCAAATCAGAGGTGATATTCAGCGGGTTCTGACCAGTTCTGGAGAACCAGTAACGGAAAATTTGAGTAGTTCGGAGAACCAGCAAATACCACCTCTGACTGGCCCCACCAACCCATCTATTCTCTGCCTCCCATTGAGTCCCAGCTGATCGGCTGGGTCTTCTTTTGTTGCCCTGCACAGGAGAATGGAGCTGGAAAGCAGGTTAGTTGGGTGGGGAGGGAAGGGGGATTTTGCAGTATATCCTTCGCCTGCCATGCCCACCAAGCCACGCCCACCAGGCGACACCCACAGAAACGGTAGTAAAAAAAATTTGAATCCTACCACTGGCCCAAATGCTAAGAGGATAATACGTCCAATCTAGCAGTGGAGTATTGTATGAAAAACTTGGTCTCTCGGAGTTGGGTTGCTAAACAAAACTTGGTGGAGATCTAAGGAAAGCTCTGTCAATTTCAAGTGAAATTTCCATTTAAATGTAGGCCTCAACTTACAACAGCTTGTTTAATGGCCGTTCAAAGTCACAACGGCACTGAAAAAAGGGACTTATCAACATTTTTCACAGTTTATGACCTTTGGGGCATCCCTGTCCTCACGTGATCAAAATTCAGGTCTTTGGCAACTCATATTTTATGATGGTTGCAGCATCCCAGCTCATATGACCACATTTTGAGCCCTTCTGACAAGTGAAGTCAACGCGGAAACTGGATTCACCTAACAACCGTGTTACTAACTTATCAACTGCATTTACTTAACCCCGTGGCAAGGAAGGTCATAAAATGGGGCAAAACTCACTTAACAAATGTTTCACTTAACCATGGAAATTTGGGGCTCAATGGAAAGAATATCTTCAGGAGCATCTAAGGCAGGGTGTGTCCAACCTTGGCAAACTTTGCAACCTGTGGACTTCAACTCCCAGAATTCCACAACCAGAGTTGGACTTCACAAGTCTTACAGTTCAATGGCGGGATTCAAAAATGTTTACTACCAGTTCTGTGGGCGTGGCTTGGTGGGCGTGGCAGAGGAAGGTTACTGCAAAATCCCCATTCCCTCCCCACCCCACTAACCTGCTTTCCAGTTCCGTTCTCCTGTGCAGGGCAACCAAAGAAGACCCAGCTGATCAGCTGGGACTCAACGGGAGGCAGAGAATAGATAGGGTTGGCGGGGCCAGTCAGAGGTGGTATTGGACGGTTCTCCAAACTACTCAAAATTTCCGCTACCGGTTCTCCAGAACTGGTCAGAACCTGCTGAATACCACCTCTGTTACAGTTGCCAAGGTTTGACATCTTCGATTAAGGCAGGGATAGGCAACTATGCCCCCTTTACAACCGGTGGACTTCAAT